CAAAAGAAAAGAGGCATCTAAAAGAAGGAGAAGCACCTAAAGATCTAAGGACTGCTTGTTTAGCAAGGTCACAAATAAAGGACAAAGGAACAAGCAGGGTGGGAAGGTTGGTTCAGTCCTGGCAGCATCCAAGAGTCAGCACTGCTGAAGGCTGCAGGTTTAAATCTGATTAAAAAAAGAAAAAGCCTTATGTAAACTTAATGCATAATTAACCTGAGAAAAGCACTCGCAGAAGATATCATTGAGGTTGTGAGAGCAGTAGAGCCACAAAAACAACTCTGTCGCTCTATGAAGAATGAGAACATTCCCAGTGAAATTATTTCAATGCTCATCTAATGAAATGGTGAAGCCTGCTGCATCCCAACCAGGGTGGGTTGCAGGTTTCTTACATCTCCCTCCAGAGTTAAAAGTCCTTGCAAAGATGCCCTCGGGTTTCATCCTCCCGTAGACCCCTGTGTAAGCCATTCATTTTCTGTGCTCCCCCCTTCATTTCACACCTTCCTCAGTCTCATGACACAGACATTGCCCAGACCCACCCATCTCCCCACGCTGTGTTTGGGTCCCAAGCTCCCGAAGCTCCTTTTGATGCCATTGGTAGAAAAAGCCAAGTCTCCTGTTTGCCAACGCCTGTAACTGAACCGCTCGCAGGCCCTGCCCTCCGCTCAGCTCCTGGCTTGCTTACAACCAGAGCAACTGTTTCACATTTCCCAGTTTAAAACCTCATGTTACATCAATGTCCCTCTTGCCAAAAATCCAGCGAGAGGTCGGCCCTGCGATCCAGGTCAGATCCTGCCCCTCCTCCCAGCAGGATCCCGACCCAAATGTTTGAGGCTCCCTTTGGAGAAAGCTCTGCTCAGCACCCCAACACCTCACACACCGCATGTGTTTGGGGTTACTGCAACACCCAGCATGATCCCAGGGCTGTCTGCACACCCTGCAGAGCTCCAGTGCTCTGCCCTTGCTTGCAGCTTTGTTGCTCCCCATGCATGCATCACCAGGCTCTGCCAGCAGCACCGCAGGCGCTTGGCAGGGCAGTGCCAGCACTCCAAAACAATAACACATCGTTTCCAAATGCCTAATTTTACAGCTAATTTCATGGTATTTTGATGTTGTAAGCTTGAGATGCGTTTGCAGAAAGCGAGTATTTTAATGTGTGGCTATGAAGATGCTAAGAGCAGTAAGAACACTGTCACAGAGCTCCCACTAAATACAACTGCAATGCAGAGCGTGCTCAGGGCCGGGTGAGATCTCAGGGCCGGGCGAAATCCACCTATGGAAAAAAAAAAGGGGGGGCAGAGAGCACAATGCAACACTTCTGCAGCTCACAGAGGCGCTGCCATTCACACTGTGCTTTTGCAACGTGCGTTAGCAGCGCTCACAAAGCCGTTGGCTGTGCAGAGGGTGGCCTCCATGCCAAACCCAACCTGCCCAGATCCCAGCACAGGGACTCACTGGGATCAAGGTCTTTCTCATTACTGTGCGCAGAGCCAGGAGGATGCTGCAGATATACTACGAGCACTTAGGAGGAAAAACATTACAGCGTCTAAAGGCACTTTAAATGATTTAGATACAAACTTGCCTATAATAAGACATCTATTTTGGTTAATCTCTTAGTTGCAAATCTTGAAACTCTTGAACCTGCCTCAGGCTACTGTCAGCAGCACTTCATTTAACACTGCTTATTGGGAATAACTGCTATTTCCCACTGTAACCTCCAAACCTCTTAAAGTCTCTCTTATTGCTTTGCCCAAACACACTTGCCTTGAGGATACAGCAGGTTTCTCTCACCGAGAGCTGTTACACTGATCTGAACACGCTGAATCAGAGCAGACCGGGCTCGGAGCATCGTCTCCATAGTGTTTGGGGAGCAGCTCTGCTTTGAGTGCTCACTGGGGTTATGGGAGCTGTCTGATCACACATCACACACGCATTGCAGGCGGTGGGGATGTGCCTGGAGACAGCCTGACCTCGTCACTGTGCTTGGAACACCTTGTGGGCTCCGCATCACGGCTGCAGGACTCGGCATCACATCTGTAGGGCTCACACTTTGATCTCTTCTATGTTTCTCTTTGAAGAGGATCCAGAGTTGTGTGGGTGCACATCCAGTGCCTGGTGGACACCCAGATGTGATGACAAAGTGACCACACATTGGTCTCCCAGGTGAGCACATGTATGAGAGTCCTCCAAGCACATCCTATAGACAGAGTACTTATAGCCATAGCATAGGGCTTTCCAGACATGAATATGGGGAAATGGGTATCTCTGCAGCCCCTACAGCAAGTGCTGCAGGCACAGCCCTCTGCTTGGGGGAAAGGTAATAGAATGGCTTAGATTGAAATGGACTTTAAAGATCGTCTACTTCCAACCCCCTGCCATGGGCTGGTTGCCCACACCAAGTCAGGCTGCCTTGAACCCTGTCTTGGGCACCTCCAGGGATGGGGCAGCCACATTTCTCTGGGCAAGTTTTGATCCGTGGTGGAGGATGTGAGGAAATGAGGAAAAGCAAAGGGAAATGCCAAAGACAAGGGAAGGAGCTCACACAATGCACACAGCAGCACCAGCTGCTGTTCCCAAGGCATGCTGCTCCTGCAGGCTGCAATGCTCAGAGCTGTGTCCTTGAGCCAATGCTGAGCCCCTCCTGTATCTGCATCCCTCCAGTCTGCTCCCGTCCTGGAGATGAGCCTTGGTCTGAGCTCAGGTTGGGAATTAAGCATCCATCAGACAGATTTCTCCCCTGCTAGATGGGATCCCTCCTGTTCCATGCAGATCTGGGGTGGCCCCAGGCCATGCTCTTTGGAGCTGGCCAGGAACCATATGGGTTTTCCATCTCTCTGCAGCAGTCCCACATCTTTTGCTGCTGAGGGTTTGGGGGACAGATACGTGCACAAAAGATGGTTTCAGTAGGTATAAGAAGAGGGAATTTGGCTCATTACTGCGTGCTGTGAGGTATGTCTTTAAGCTTCAGTAAACTTTTGGAGTCCCTGGGCAGCTGGTAATGTGCCTTTGATGGAAGCATGACTTTTGAAATGGCAGTTTTTAGCTTAGCTGGGTAATGTTAATGAGAAAATACTGTGGGCTGTGGGTGGAAGGCTCCTGAATCCCAGACGTTCGAAATGAATTATTCTGTTTTCCTAAATGAAGCAACGCAGCACAGTGGTGAGAATCAGGAGTTGGCAGCCAAACGTGGAGCAGGGAGCTGCAGCCTCAGACATGCCATGTGCAGGGAGCAAACCCTGCTGCTCTAGTTCTCAGAGCTGTGTGGGTTGGGGCAGTGCAGGTGGGGACGGATGGACAAATTCTCCCTTCTGTTGCAGCCAGAGAGCTGATCAAAGCCCCAGGCTGCTGACTGCAGCTCTGCAGCTCCTCAGCATTTAGAGCTCAGAAAGCCAACGCTGTGCCTGCTGCTGTACAGCACAGTGCACATCAAAAGGAGCTCCCACGAGGATGGGTCCCACGTGGCTGCGTGCAGGTTATGATGAGCACGAGGGGTTGGTGTAGGAGATACAGCCCCGATATCCATCAGCACTGTTTGCACTGTGCAGGTGGTGCAACCCGTGGGACAGTGAATCCTAAAGGCTGATCCTAAATGCCCATCCCCTGAGCAGTGCTGCTGGCTTCTGGGCTCCTAGGCACAAGGTGCTGGTGATTACCCTCCAAGTAATTAGTTTTTAAATCAGGCAGACGGTTCAGGAACCACTCGCTATGAGCTGCTTTAATTATTGATGCTCCCTTTTATTCATATTATTTATAGCAGCTGGGCCGGGCGCGATGCTCGTGGGGCCAGGAGCAGCCCCAGCTCTTCCCTGGGTTTCCATCCCCTCTGGTTTCACCCCCAAACCCCCCAGTGCTCAGGGACTCCCCCTTTGCAGCAAAGCAAACAGGAGCGGGTGCCCATCACTGCGGTAATTAAACTCTCACTCATCTTCATTTCCTTCAGTTGCTGAAGCGAGGCCACTCAATAAGCCATTAGCACAAGGCTCTTTCTATCACTACAGCATCGTTAAGCACACGTACCCCAGAGACCACTGGGGACTGAAACGTGGTCACGTAGTGCCTCCCACTCCCCCCCAACAGCCCTTCGTGGGAGACTCAGGGAAATTTCACTGCATAAACCCTTCCTGAGCTGAGGTCTTGCAGGAGCCATCTCCACCTCCCCTTTCCTGCAGCAAGAACTCATTCCTGTCCAGCACCAGCACAGGGCACAGCATCTGCCCCAGAGCAGCATGTGCCCCAACCCAAGGAAAGCTGTAAAAAGCAGCACCAGCACAAGAAAAAAAAAATGCCATAGGGGAAAAGCTGCTGCAGATGCTTTGCCAGAAGCAAAGCCCATGGCCCGTGTTTGTAATTACAACTGTATGTTGATTTTCCCCCCCAAAGAGGTTGTGCTTGGGGTCTGGCTGTGGTTCCAGCAGCGAGGACCCGCGGGGCAGCAGAACTGGGGGTGAGCGGTGCCTGAGCCAAAGCAACCACAAAATCACAGCACACTGCTTGGAAATCCCCTGAAAGGCATCAGGCTGGGCTTTGCAATGGGGCTGGGAGCCAACTGACAGCACACTGCTGGATGCCGTGCACAGAATCACAGAATGGTTTGGGTTGGAAGGGACCTTTAAGGACACCTAGTTCCAACCCCCTGCTATAGGCAGGGACGTCTCCCTTGGCAACCCAGGTGCCAGTAGAAAACCAGGTCCCTAAAGATGCCCTGCACCCCACACGCCTGTAGGGAACCCAAACCCAAACCAAAGCAAGGTGCTTTCTGCCCTATTGGTTTGCATGCAGCTCAGGCACCTTGGGAAGAAAAAATACAGCACACAAGTAGGATACCTACATGGGAGGTGCTGGCATGGGACCCCGCAGCAGCCCTATGGTGTTCTGGGGTCAGCAATGCATTGAGCCACCCCCCCAAAATGGGCACAGCCCCATTCAGAAGCCGGTTGGATCCATGCATTAAGTCCATCCCTGCCCCCAAGGAACAGCCAATTCCAAACAAGCCACCTCCCGTCTGCATTCAAAACATTTATTTTGGGAAATACATATTAAACACTATTATTTATACAAATTAAAAAAAAAAAAAAAAAAAAAAAAAAAAAGACTAAATTTCTCGTAATGCTTATAACCCCCAAAAGGCCATTGTAATACATCTGGATGAAGTTCGTTCTTTTTATTATTGTATTTTCATTTCCTTCCCCCCCCCAAAAGAAAGAGAAAGATCCCAGGTTATAAGGGAGATAGCAGCGTGCCTCGCCTGGCCCAGCTTGAGAGATCGACTGGAGGGAAAAGAATTTAAGATGACATTTGCACAAGTGCCTCGCGCAGGAGATTTTCTCCCCTTGAAGTCTTTGTAACAATTGAAATGCACCTATTTTCTTTTTTTTTTCAGTAAATACATTTTGTTTTTGCTAAAATATAGCAAGTCAGTATGTAAATGGTTGTGCTTCCTCAGCAGCTCAGCGAGTGCTGCTGCAGAGGGGGAAATGTGAGCTATGGGGAGAGCGCGTCCTCCTTGCAGTGCACCCCAGGGTGTGCAGGAGCACCTCCTAACCTTTCACTGAGTATGTGGGCATCCTGAGCAGGGTGAGAGCTGTCTCTGATCCTCTGCCCCACAGAGAATGCAGGGTGGGCCACGCTGCCATTATTACACGCCAAAATAAAAGGGCCATTTGCGTGAGGTTTCATCCCACAGAGGAGAGCAGAGATGGATGGAGCTGACACCAGGAGAGGGGCAGGGGGATGCGGGGCTCCTGGGCCACGCAGCATTCCCCAGCAGAACCCACACAGGGTTCTTCTTCCTGCAGGTCCACGGAAACACAAAGTGTGAGGCAGAGCCATAGGGCCAGGCTGCTCTCATGCATGTGGGCATGCAGTGCTCAGGCGGTGTGGGCACAGCCCCATGCACAGGGCTATTCACACGGAGGAGTGCGTTATGGAGACATCACACACGGGATGCAAAGGAGTATGTTTAGAAAAATAACACCCAACAGCCTCCTCTGACTTAGGGAAAAGCCCACTATGACAAAGGTCAGACGGGACAAACCTCCACTACCCAGCACCGCTTTGCAGAGACATTCCACTCTCAGCCCCTTCAAACACACTCTGAGCCTTCCATGGAATAAAACACCCTACAGATTGAAAATAAATACGTGCGGGTCCACAGGAATCCAGCCATACCTATGGGCCAAGCCACGAGTGAGAGGGACAAGGAGTCTCTGCAAAGCACTGCAAGCATTTTCCAGACACAACCCCCCGCCCCCATTCTGCACTATTGCAAGGTAACAGTCCTAAAGGCACTTCTCCCAGAGCCGGGCTGCTGCAAGGCGAGGTAACGCCCCAATGCTCCCAGCTTATTGCATGTAGGCAGGGAAGAGGGGCTGGGTCAGGGCTGGTGCTGCAGGGCTGCTGAGGAGGAGGCAGGAGACAAGGATGGCACTGTCTTGCTGTCTTCACACCATCGTACCTTGCTTTGCTTCTGGAGGGTACAATGACACAGAGCAGCCCTTGCCTCCAATGGACGGAGAGGAAAAATGGCACAGACGTGGGACAGAGGTACTCAGCCTTTGGCAAACTGCCCTGGGTTCACGGCCACAGAGGTGGCAGGAGACCCAACTGCACCCTGAGACCCCGCAGCCCCTGCTGCCCTACAGCCCAAATCCATACAGCCCTATGGCCGGAGGATCCTCCAACCCCTCCCAGGGCTGGGGAGCAACGGGGGACGGGAACTCACCCCCCTCTGTACAACATACGGCATCTGGTTATTTGGTCAGTTAACATCGGTGGGGGGTTTTGGGGGAAGAGGGACAGTGGCAGAGGATTTATATAAAAATAAAGGGAGAAGGGGGTAGAAATAGCGAGCGTGAGCGAGCAAGGTCCTGGCTACACAGCGAGACGGTTACATTTCGTTAGCCACCAGCTCTTTGTCAGTCACGCCGTTGGAGAGCGAGCTCTGGCCCTCGTTCAGCCTCTTCACCCTGTAGGCTTCGAAGTGGATATTGCTGGTAATATCCTTTATGTTTTGCATGTGTGTCCTATGGGAAACAGAAACACGGGGTGGTCACATCTCATATAGGGCATAACACCCACTGTGCCAACCCTGGCTGCCACCTCACCCTTTGCTTTCCAGCCCTCTCTCCAGTCTTGTCCCCACTTACACCCCTGGTTAATGGTACATCTTTAGGATGCAGCAGGGAAGCAAAGGCAGTTATGGGCAGCTGGGTCCAGAAGCCCCCTGCAGCCACATCCCATGGCATGGGGCCATCCCACCGAGGGCTGGGAGGGAAGCACGGAGGGATGGAGGAGCAAAGCAAAGCAGGGCTGCATCTGGTGGGCTGAGCTCTGCCCTTGGGATGCCAACTGGTGACCAAAGCTATGGGACTCGGCGCAGTCCTACCAACCTGATGAGGAGGTCCCGCAGGTAGGCGAACTCACAGTGTGTCGTGTTCTCCACTGGGAGGGAGAGAGAGAAACCCATCAGTGTACAGCCATGGCATGAGTGTGGCAGCTGCCTGGGGCAGGAGGGTGTGATGGGGCTTCACCAGCATGTGGGGAATGGGGACAGAGACCTAGTCCAAGGGTAGAGTGCTTGCAAGAGGGAGGGGGGAAAAGCAAATGGTGTTGCACCAGCACAATGAACACAACAGCTCTCAGTTTACCAGGCAGTTGAATTTAGAGCATCAACTCCCTTTTTTCATTGTTTTTCCATGCAAACTTTGAAGAGAACTCAGAAATGGCAGGACAACAAGTAACACTGCTCTGCAAGGTGCATGGGCACACTGGGTCCTCATGTGGCATCTGCCTTCTGCATGGGAGACCCACGCTTGACCACTCCAAACCCCATTAAACTCAGAGCTTCCAAGGATAGAGCACAAGAGGGCAGCAGAGATTTAAAATACACCAATTTTTCTGGCAGCTTTGCTAAGCAATCCCTCAACACAGGAATCCTATAAAAAAGAATCATAAATGAGAGCAGTCTCTGAAATAAAGGGGAGGAAGGCAGAGGGGTGGCATTGGAGATGTGTCAGCTGGCTGCCAGAAGGCAGGAGCAGGGAAATGTGATGATGGATTGGAGCCAGGAGCCTTCAAACTATAATTTAAAATGGGAGAGGGGAAAAAAAAAAGGATGGGATGAAGATGGAAGAATGGTGAGATCCCACTGCTAAATGCATGGAGGATTCACAGAATCATTATCGTAGAATTATTAAGGTTGGAAAAGACTAAGATCATCCAGTCCAACCATAAGGAAGGACCTTATCACCTTCTGTCAAGGCAGGAGATGGGCTCACGAGGGAGGGAAGCAAGGACAAGCTACCTTCAATGGTGCCCCATTTGGTCTTCCTTCCAAGGATTCTCCTTCCATTAACCTGGTATTCCTGGTCACTGCCCACCACTGCAAATGGGATCATTTCCTGAAGGCAGACAAAAGCAAGGTTACGTTTTCCTTCTGAAAAAACAGTCAGGAAACCAGGCTGCTCAGCAAAGTCCTGAGCCATGCTGCTTTCCTTTTTTGCAAGAGGATCCCTGGGCATCATGGTAACATGGAGCTGCATACCCCCAGCCACAGACATCCAGCTGCAATGCCATGCACTCACCCTGAATTTCTCATTCACGAGCCGATCTTCAGAATCTTCATCAAACTCCTTCTGAGGGTACACATCAATCCCATTGGCAAGGAGATCAGCCGTGATCTGGGAGGGGAAGAGTGGAGCATGAAAAGACATGAAAGCTCAGGCAAAGGAGCTGCTCCCCTCCCATCCCATCCCATCCCATCCCATCCCATCCCATCCCATCCCATCCCATCCCATCCCATCCCATC